TTGTCAATTAATAAAGAATAAGTTTGATGAAATCCGGATAAGAAATAAGAAAGTTGGTAATGTGCATGCGCACTACGCAAATTCGATAATTCCATTAAATTTAGAATTTCTTTATACACATAAATACCAAGTTTGATGAAAATCGGAAAGTTGGCAATGCGCATGCGCACTTCGCAAATTCGATAATTCCATCAAATTTAGAATTTGTTTATACACATACATACCAAGTTTGGTGAAAATCGGATAAGAAATAAGAAAGTTGGTAATGCGCATGCGCACTACTCAAATTCGATAATTCCATCAAATTTAGAATTTGATTATACACATACATACCAAGTTTGATGAAAATCGGATAGTAAATAAGAAAGTTGGCAATGCGCATGCGCACTACGCAAATTCGATATTTCTATCAAATTTAGAATTTGATTATACACATACATACCAAGTTTGATGAAAATCGGATAGTAAATAAGAAAGTTGGCAATGCGCATGCGCACTACGCAAATTCGATAATTCCATCAAATTTAGAATTTAATTATACACATACATACCAAGTTTGATGAAAATCGGATAAGAAATGAGAAAGTTGGTAAATTAAGTGGAGGTATACCTTCAATATGCTGCCGTGAGCTTAAACTAAAATATGACATGATTCAATCCACATGAGAGCTTAATTTTATACCATAACTGGACAAAGATAATTTTTAAGAAATATAAAAGGCAGGGTAACTTTAAAACAACTTAAAATTTGATTTCTGTTGGGGTTGACAGCCAGGTTAATCTAATTAGCCGATTTATCTAATAATAACCCCATGTTAAGTGAATGGAGTTTTGAATTTGCATGTAAGGTATGCATGTTATATATCTATGGAAAGCTGAGAATCTCTACATTACAAAATCGAAAGAATTATTGCCATATCTCTATTAGGGACCGAGATAGAGCACTTTAAAGGCTCAAAATGGTCCATATTTAGACCCCTGTAAAATCGGAAATAGGTATCTGACCCCAAAGGTCAAAAGGTCATCAGATATACAAGGTCACAAATTATCATCACAGTAAATATGAAGGTCATCAAAGGTCAAGGTCATGAGATATACGCCTTCAAAATTTGAAAAAAACAATCCGGTCGTACAAAAAAATCAAAACCGAAAATCAAAATTATGCTGCCTAAGGATTGTAGACAGACATTAAACGTATCGTTTGACACAAATGTTATGCAAATCGGATGAAAAATGGCCTCTGAATAGCAATTTCTGCAAAATGAGGCAAACCAAAATGGCGGCCAACATGTTACTTCCGGTGCGGATTTTTTTAGTTTAATAAGTTTGTATTAAAGCTGGTAATATAATGAATATGTTATTTTTGACATAACTCAATTCCACCGGAAGTGATACCACCGGAAGTACTAACACCGAAACCGGAAGTGATCAAAAAAATTTGAATGTGTACTTTTGCGTCTCTATGCTGGCGATCTACACCACGTAAGTTTCAAGTCAATCCGTCCGACAACAACCGAAATAGTATTTTTCGATTAATTTCGGCAAAAAAAAGTATGCAACGAATTTTCGAAAATCGAAAATTTTCAACTGCTATCATTTGTCCTTTGTTACAAGAAATACGATGCAGAAAACCCGATCAAAATCGGTTGATAAACACGCCCTCTAGAGTCCATTTTCCGTTTGTTGCAACGTTGCGTAATGTTGCTCAGAAAGTTTTCGTTTTACATTTAAACTGTGATTAGCCACGAGTTACAAAACGCCATGAAGTCCGTTTTCCCGTACCTATTGCCGTTGCCAAGAAAACCGGCCTGCCGTGGACGAAAAAAAAAAAAACTAGAGCCACACGTGGCACAGAGTGGGACTTTGCAAATGTAGCAAATTGCAAAAGACTCTGAAAAAATCAACCTTCTACGATAATTACATCACGCGCAAGAGCAGTCTAAAGTTGAGAAGAATTCTTTGGAAGATTGTTATAACGGAAGTAGACAGACCTCACAAATGAAAGTATCAGAAGATAGCCAAGGTCAATGACATTTAACATTGAAAGGGAGAGGGTCAACAAAGGTCAAGGTTACGAGATACAAGTCATCAAAATTTTTAAATATATACGGCTATAAAACCGGAAGTTGAGAGAGGACAGCAAATATAAAAGTATAAATAGATAACCAATTTGAATGACCTTTGATCCTACAAAAATCAGGGTCAAAAAAGGTCAAGGTCAAAAATTGAAAATTTTGAATTTTCAAAACCTGTTCCTTTTTTTGAACTATAAAGCTGAAACAATCGAACTTCTAAGACAACGTGGCTCAACGGATGAAGTAATTGTATGCAAAATTCCATTTTGAACAAATGTATACGTTGCGAGTTAAGTCCCTTGTCAAAATTGTCAATAATGAGTAATTTAACCCGGATGTGCTACGCCCACCTCAATTTCTTTTGCATAGGTTAATTGATATTCTGAATGTTATGTAGTATCCCAAATTTAAAGCTTCTACATCATACAGGTCAAAAGATATAGGTCACAAGAGTCAATAAAGGTCAAAATAGAAAATTGAAAATATGGAAATTTCAAAACCCGTTCCTTTTTTGGAACTATAAAGCTGAAACAATTGACCTATTAACACAAACTGGCCAAAATAATGAGGTAATTGTGTGCAAAGTTCCTTTTTGAACAAATGTATCCTATGCGAGTTATGCCCCTTTCCCAAAATGTAAACAATTAGTAATTCCACCCGGATGTGCCACGCCCACCTCAACTTTTTTGTCATAGGTTAATTCATATTCAAATTGTCTTGTTGTGTTCCAAGTTTCAAAGTTCTACATAAAATAGGTCATAAGATATATACACACCAAGCTCAAAGAAACAGAAATATTGTAAAAAAAACTCAAATTTGAAAAATTCACGAATTTCAATTTTGCTTTAAAAAACGATTGTTATAATTCACTTGAAAGAGCATGAAAAGCACATTAAGAATCCGAAAAAATTAACCCTCTAGGTTAATTAGGTCACGTGCTAGAGCAGTCCAAAGTTGCCAATTTGGCTGTTTTCGGAAAGCTATAAAACCGGAAGTACATGTCGGAGGTCAAATGTCAAAGTATTAACTGATAGCTAAGGTCAATGACCTTTGACCTTATAAAGGTCAAGGTCATCAAAGTTCAAGATCACGAGATATGACCCTTCAAACTTTGAAAAAATTTAACCGGATGTTGCAAAAAAGCAAAATTGAGAATCGAAAAACGGCTTCCTAATGTCATGTAATGTCTTCTTTCATTTGACACCAAAATCATTTAAATCGGATGAGCCATTATGTCCGAATAAAAATCGAATCATTTCAGAAAAATCAAAATGGCGGCCAAAGTTTCACTTCTGTTCCGGATTTTTTTTTCTTCGTTTTTTTGTCATAACTTTGTCTACCTATCAGCATAAAAATTTTTGTCCTATACAAATTACACCGGAAGATATTCAACCGGAAGTGAACATCGATTTCCTGTTTAAACCGGAAGTGAAATTGAAAATTTGACTGTACCTTTTTGTTTACTTTCTTAAACTGTCTTTGCTCAATTTTTTTCGGATTAATCAGACAAAAAGCAAAAAAAATGAAAAAAATGCAAAATTTGGCAAAAAAAATGTCTGCGACAAATTTTCGAATTTTGAAATTTTGAAACTGCTATTCTTTCAGATTTTAACAGTAGATTCCAAAAATGCAAACCCAAAGAAAATCGACCCAAAAATACGACTTCTAGAGCCGATTATCTATTCTTGCACATAATGAACTGTGGCGCTTCCGGTTTTGCAAAAAAGATCCAAAATATATTTATGCACATCGTCGCCTATATCTAAGGTTCGTGAACGTTCGCAACTATTGTAGTTTAAGCTCAGGAAGGTGTGTAAATTTCGAAAAAAAAAAAAAAGTAGAGCCACTCGTGGCACAGAGTGGGACTTTGCAAATGTAGCAAATTGCAAAAGACCCCGAAAAAATCATCCTTCCATGATAATTAGATCAATCGCAAAAACAGTCTAAAGTTGAGAAATTTTCATTTTTTAGAAGATTCTAATACCGGAAGTAGACGTCAGACCTCACAAATGAAAGTATCAGCAGATAGCCAAGGTCAATGACCTTTGATCTTGTAAAGGAGAAAGTCTAAAAAGGTCAAGATCAAGAGATATACGTCATCAAAATTTCAAATTGCACACGACTATAAAACCGGAAGTTGACATAGGACAGCAAATATGAAAGTACAAATAGATAGCCAATGCCAATGACGTTTGATCCTACAAAGGTCAAGGTCAACAAAGGTCAAGGTCAAAAATTGAAAATTTTCAATTTCCAAAACCTGTTCCTTTTTTTGAACTAAGAAGCGGAAACAAACGAAATTCTAAGACAAAGTGGCTCACAATATGAGGTAATTGTATGCAAAGTTCCATTTTGAACAAATGTATACTTTGCGAGTTATGTCCCTGGCCAAAAATGTCAATAATGAGTAATTAAACCCGGAAGTGCCACGCCCAACTCAATTTTTTTTGAATAAGTTAATCAATATTCAAAATGTTACGTTATGTTCCAAATGTCAAGTTCCTACATAATAGAGGTCAAAAGATATAGGTCAACAAAAGTCAA